ATTGGAAAGAATGGGTGTATGTGGGTGTATGTGGGCGTATGATTTTTATTGTATTACTATTGGCTGTTGATTAATTTCATTCAAAATTTATTTATGCTAATTTATTTCTTTATATTTCGTACAGGGCCTCCTCCCAAAGCTTTGCTTTCTTTGGATTTTGTGTATATATTCATTAAGTAATTTTTTCTTTTTTTTATGGAAAACAAATTGAATTGAATTGAAGGAATCGCGGCCTGGCCTTTTAAAAATGAGAATGAAATATATAACGGCTTTAATGATATTGTCTGTGAAACCCTGTATGGCATTAGTCTACCAATCCTTTTATTCTCCATCACGAATTGGAAATACGGTAAATATATGAAACCTTCAGTCCATTAGATGTGATTGGCAATATCGGAAGCGTTTATTTTAGCCTTGAAAGCTCTCCTCTAAATGAAGGTATGATTGATGCAGACAGTGGCGTACGCAGGATTTTTTTCAAGGGGGGGGGGGGTTAAATCGGGTCAAATATCGCAACGACTCAGCCAGCCGCTGAATAAGCGGGGGGGGGGGGGTAAGAGGATACTTTTTTTCCTTTCTTTTTTTACCTCGAAATTTGAAAATTTGACATTTTGCTCTGTTAGGGGGGATATGGTCATCTGTTTTAGGTCAGCCTAATTAAAGAGAAAATTTGACACGGTCGACCAGGATGTATCATTAGAAAATTAATAGTTGGATGACAGACTCCAAGTAAATAAAATAGATGAGCTCATGTCATCGCTATCCTCAATTACAATTCAGTTCCACCTCAGGGCTCAGTATTAGGACCACTGGTGTTTGATGTATAAATAAATAGTTCATCCTTTGCTTTCACTGGTCTACAATTTGAAGTACATAATATTTGCTGATGATACTGTACTGCTGTTTAGAGCAAAACAAATCCCTTGAATAACAACATGATATGCAACGCAGACTACAAATGGCAGACAAGTGGTTTCTTCAAAATAAGCTGACGCTGAATTTAAAAGAGACAAAGTTTATGTTGTTAGGCACTCGTCAAAGACTTACAACATTTTCTTATCTAGTTTTGTAAACCTCTATAATCGTCACATTGAAACTTTTAAGATCATATTCAAATATAATGGCATAATTCCTTTTCCTATCTCTCTCTCTCTCTCTCTATTCCCCGAGCGAAGTTTTATTTCCATAATGTCAGTACATATTTACATTGATTACTCCATGACTAAATTTAAAAAACATTGGCTAAAAACTAAATTACACCGTATATTGAACAATTCTTCCAGCTTAGTATTATTTTCTTTGCTTATACATTCATACCTTAAAAACAATTTTAGCAACGATTTGACTTAAACAAACGAAGCAAAAAATAACAGAACCATTGACAATCTTGTTGACGTAACATATTTTAATTGCATATCGCGCATAATGAACAAAATATTGAGGAGAGCATATTTCTTTACCTACCTGCCGTGGAATGCTCCCCAGGGAGTGGAGAATGTGCATGCATTGTGTGCGGGTAAGCCTCAATCTTATGACTGGGGTAATAATATATTTATCTGTAAAGTGCTTTGAGAGGGCCTTCGGTCCTGAAAAGCGCTATATAAGAACTAGCTATTATTATTATTATTACAACTAATAAATTTTTGTTTATTTGTAAAGTTCTACTTGGAATAGATAAAATATCAAATTACATAATTTTTTCCAAAACATAATCACATCCTTCCAATACAATAAAAAGTGAAACGTTGAATCAACCTTTTTACAAATGTTGCAACAATTTTCCATTGATATAAATTTTCTTTTTTAATTGTTTAACTTTTTAATAACGAATTTGCTTTAATTCAAATCAAAATACATCCTTCCTAACAAATTCATTATCTAAATCTAGAAAGGAATTCAAAAAATAAATGACAATTTGTTCTCTTGACTTCTTCCGTACTATCAAAAGATAGTAATCTTACACTTTAATAAACAAACAAATTTACCTGATTACCTTTTTCTATTTCTATAAGATTCGAAATATCATATTCGTCTTTTAAATCATTGACATCACGTAATTTATCTAACCACCACTCAAAAAATGATTATTTTTTTCTTCAATTTTGTATATCTTAAAACAAATAAGAGCTGTTGTGCGTTCCCATTTGTCATTAATTAATTTAGGGTCATTCCAGATACCATTTGTAATCAAGTTATGAATTTTCAATAAACCGGCATCTTGCCATTCTCTATAAAAAGCAATATTTTTTGTATAAAGGTAATGTTACTATTTTTCATATAGTTTCAGTTGCCATATTTTTACATATCGATTAATCTTAGTACTGACCAAGTACAAAAGAAGATCTACATATACAACGTTCTGGCAAATTATGTTTAGTGCGTAATAAATTCATAACTTTTATATTACAATTCAACGGTAAAACAAAGTGGCAAAACCCCTATTTTATCTGACCAGTATCTAAACATATTTTTCCAATTAGAACCATCATCATTAAGGAAACGAGATACCCATGAAAAACAAAGTAAAAATATTCCACTAGCAACATCAAACATATTCGATCCACCATTTTCAACATCATTTATTATTAATCATGGACGTTTAATTCCTTTTCTTTTTTTGGAATTTCACGCGAAAAAAAAAAATAGTCTATTCAATATCTGTAAATCATGTTTTGGTACTGGTAAAATAGTTAGGGTATGCACAACTTATGTTGCCGCCTACGATTTCATAAAAAAAATTCTACCATAAAAAGTAAGACCGAATTTTATGTATTTGTACATTCCAGTTTAAATCTTATAAACAATTTCTTATTTTAGCCTAAATACACTACAAAATATGTAACAGGTTTATCCGTAACTATAGTGTCATTATCATAATAAAAATTATCTACAATGTTCATGTTCAAAACTTCTGTCTTTTTCCAGTTTGCTTTCGGACCTGCAAAATCTCCAAAATCCTTAATTTAAATCATAATATATTGTACATCATTAACAGAATTCACAAAAAATGTCGTACCGTCTGCATATTGGGGATATTTTTTAACTATCGATACCTTGATTAACACTGAATGTATCAATGTCTTTTTTTGTCTTATTTTACATGTTATTACTTCCACTGAAGATGTTAAAAAGTTATGCCGATAATAGACAACCCTGGCGAACTCCTCTTTTAATTATAAACTTTTTTGAAAACATCCATTATTCATCACACGACCTAGGGCATCAGTATAAAATTTCTTTATCCAGGTGAAAAAAGATTCTTTAAACTCGAATTTACAAAATACATGAAATAGGAAAAAATGGGATTCATTAACAAATGCTTTTTTTTAAAATCTAAACAAAATATAATCCCTGAACTATTTGATGTCTTCAAATAATGTATCACATCTTGTACTAACCGTATGTTGTTTTTTTTGCTGCGGATCGTTTCTTTATTAAACCTCTTTGGTCAGTTGAAAAGATGCTTGATAAAACACGACGAAGTCTTTTAGACAGTACTTTTGTCGCAATTGTAATAACGAAATAGGTCTCCAATTGTCAAAATAACCCCTATCCCCTTCTTTAATAACAACTTTATTTGACACTGCCTTTGGGAAGAAGACATTTTTTGTTTTTGATACCTCTCATTTAAACTTGCAAGCAAACCAATTCTTTAATTTCTCACCAAAAAACCTTCTAAAAATCGGCATTAAGACCATTACTTCTAGGGTTGCGTCTTCACATTCCTTTTCAGTGACCCTTTTTACTGCAATGCCCCTTCTTCGGTCGGGGTACTAACCATTAAATATTTAAGATATTAAATAAGCGTTATGCTTGATGAAAAGTTGTTGTGGAAAGATCATCTCGACTATATAGCCCGAAAGGTCTCACAACGAAATGTGTTCTTGAGTGGATCTGCATAAACCTGTATTACCAAAAGAGTTTTGTTTAATGTTGTATTGTTCCCATATTAATCTACATTTTAGACTCTGGCGATGTTGCATGGTCAAATACATCTTCAAGAATTATTATCAGGCTATCAAAATTACATAATAAAATGACAAGAATGATACTGGATGCACATCTGTCAATCCATGTATTTGACATATTTACTGTTCTAATTTGGAGAGAAATGCCTTTGCGATGGAATCAGATAGAATGATCCATTGCCTTAGTAATCTCGCAACCAATTATTTGGAATATATGTTCTCGCATCAATACATGCCTTTAAATTGTAATTGATTTATTCCATTTAACCCATTCATTCTTTTGACACAAGATTCCGGACGAATGGTTCGCTGAATAATACAATGAGAATGTTCAACAATGCTGTAAAATCATACTTTCGAATACATGGTATTTACAGGGTGGAGCAGTCTTTGTTTGAATCAAAGAAATAGTGGCTCATTCCATGCCTTTTAATAGTAATTGAATAATCCCATTACTATCAAATATAATCTACATATCAACGACAAAACATTGACAAATTATAAAATCCTGAGATATATTGCTAGTTTAATACGATATAGTTAGGTTGAGTTTAAAATTGTGTTTGATGTTGTTGTGATTGCTTTTGGTTTTGTTTAATTTTTTGGTAAATTCCAGCGAAAGTCTTTGAAGAAGTCTTGAAAATTGATAAACTATTCATAATATGCCTTAAATCATTATTTGGTACATGCATATCACATTTTATAACAATTTGTCTATAATTTTAAACTTTAATCATATCGTTGTCTAAGCTCACTGACAATCTTATGCTCTAAAAATAGTACTACCATTAAATTGATGAAAGTAAATAAATAATATAATGTTAATATAATTATACAACGTTGATAAAATATGCAAGGCATGACTATGCGATGGTCTACAGACATTACAAAATTAATAAGTTTTAGTATTGAGCTTAATATTTTAATCTACTGCTTCAGAAAAACCCAAATGTTTAGACCACTCGACTACGGCGCCTTTACACAAAACCTGTTCAGTCTTTTCGCAAGTGCCAATTTTTTTTAAAATTTACTTTAACGGCATCTCACAATCCGCCAGATGGTCTGACGGACAAGTGGTTGCGCAATGGCATACGTGATGGGATTGATAAGACTGTTGGAGTACGACGCCCAGCGAACAAATTCTGTAACGCCGGCAGGCATCTTACTCTTGAAGTCGAGGGCGATAATGGCTACGCTACTTGGCAACCAAGTCAAGAAGAACGCTAATGTGATCAAAGTCAGAGTTCGCATCACTTTGTTGTTATTGGATGATGATAAGTGACTAGGTTTCATACGACTGTCCTTGGCTAGTGGTGGCTCTGCGAGCCTGCGAGTTGATATTTCTTGGGATGGATCCGATTGACTCTTTAGCTGTTGGGACAAGGTTTCCGGATCTTCTCTTCTGAGGTCATCTTCTGAAGGTCTACAAGAGCAGATGCTGTTCGCTTCGTTTGATGTTGAGTCCTTAGTATCTGTTTCTTGTTGGAATCCGATAATTCCTTCCTGAGTATGAACGTTGACAACAGTATCATCGTTTTGAACACCACTGGCGTTGATATCAATTCGGGTACCGTCTGACGGTATCGTTGTCAAGACTTTGATCGTGAGGCTCTGTCGAGGAAATGTCATTCGTTGTTTCACTCTGAAACTGAGTGTTTGTGTCACCTTTGGATTTGTTCATTGTTTTGAGGTTGAATCTCTTCCACAAACTTCGGCTACCAGAGGCTTTCACTGTAAAGTATATCTTTATATGAATAATGGTAATAATGATAATGGGAACAGCAAAATTGGCGATTGTAACCGCAATACTGGTATAGAAATTTCGGCCATAGTTTACCCAAAAGAAGCCTTTATTAGATGCTGCATGAAATGGTTCTACCAGGTTCCAGATCGTGGTGATAGGAATCCAGAAGGACAAAGCCACCACCCAAGTGAGACCATTGACAAAATGCGCAATTCTTTTCTTCTTCCGTTGAAAATGCAGGATCGGGTAGGAGGTTGCCACGTAACGGTCCGAAGCAATCGCGATGATACCAAGTACGGACACACCAAGCACTGAATTTTGAATACCAAGAAAGAAATGGCCGACGATGTCCCCAAAAATCCATTTTCCGAATAAATTGACGGTGCTACGGATCGCCATTACAATCCCAACTAAAAGATCAGAGATGGTGATGTTGAGGATGTACTGGTTGGAATAGGTGCGCAATTTTCTTTCGATGTGAAATGCCCTCAGAATCAAGGCGTTCATTGCCACTGTCATAGCTGATAGTGAAAAAAGAAGGCTAAAAACAACAACAGAGCCATCAGTGTCCAATGTCAGATTGGCTGACTCTGAGCTGATAACAAGCGTTGAGTTTTTCATGGCTCCACAGTTTACTGGTTAGAAGCAGAAAGGAAGAAAACCAATTTTAAATCACTTTAAACGTGCTCAAATGAGCTAAACACATTTGTGCTGTATCTTATTTGCTCGTCTATTTACATACCCTGTACATCGTTTTGTTTACGATCATTATTTCACCTCAATATGATTTTTTTTTCCCAAATGTTCTACTTCTGAAAGAAAAACCTTAGAAAACAAAATGTTTAACATATACAGAATAAATAAGAGACAGATTTTACCACTCATTGGAGGGTATTCGGTACACTTGATGAAGCTGATAATTTTATATTTCAAATTGTAGCCCAAAAGAGTTCTAACAGAGACACAACATCAGCAACCGTAGTAAAAATCAACATAACTTGATGTGACTATTAACAAAATTTCAAAATGGCAAGAAAGATAATCACCTCGATCCGGAAAAGTGGTGTTCCCTTCTGAATCATCGATTTAGAGGTGTCTAATCAGATATTAGAAGATCTACTTTTATACTAATGCAACACGATATACCGCGGTCGTGTTTGATTGATAGTCGAATTCTATACATTTTATAGATCATGATAACGCGTGGATCGTAACAAAGCGGATGGTGCTCTTTTTAGCAAGTATCTAAAGCAAAATGATATGCTGGAGTGGATATCTACGTATAGATAGATGTTAGACTTTTTCCTTCTAATACCCATTGAAATCACCTGGGTTGCGTGTGGCAAATATAAGAATAATCTGCGTTTGTTCGTAATGTTGGTTACGCGGTGCTCTTTGCTGAGGTAGGCCTGTGTCAGCGACTGGCCTTATCTTCGATGCACCATATGAGAGATCGATCGTAGGCCTACAGATTGAAATGAACAGTGCAAACATTTCGTTGAACTACTGGCACATGTATTAATTACCTTCTCGGGCTCCTTTGGATATCGAAATGATGTCGTGTGTACAATGGGAATCAACCTGTGCCACTCCTGTTTGTTCGGCAAATTGATCTAGACATTATCCAAGTGACCATCGGCGTAGCAAATTTTGCACGGGGACACTAAAGAGAGGGGGAGGACGGGAAAGTAAAAGAAGATGCTATGACCCCCTCTCCCGTCCTCCGATTAATCAATGCTCTTTTTAGTTTACATTTCACCCGTTTCCAATTCTCCATGACATCGTCGCCCCTCAATGGCAGGATCCCCGCTATATACGCCATTGATAATGGTTTTATCGTCGGCACCTCAAAATCCGTAGAAGAGTCTTGCGGAACACCGGTTGCGCCATAGCATAGGTTAAGGGGTTGAGAAGGCTATTTATAAATGTTACCCAACGTCCAACAGCACTTTTATTGGACGTTATGATTGATATGCAACTTGGCAGCGAAGTTATGAAAAATACCACAATGATGAAGGTCAGAGTACGCAAGGCTTTATGATTATCCGCTGAAGACAGGTGCCGATGGTTCCTCTGAATCCCATCGGGTGTTGTTGTTTGTGTTGTATTGTGCATTGGTGTAACTTGGTGATTAAACGGTCGCATGTTTTGCTCCAGTGTTGTAGATGCCCGACCATGCTGTCCAATGTCTTCAACTATGTCAACTGTGATATGATCCGAATGGAGTGAGATCGATGGTTTTGAAGCATTCCCTTGAAGAACTTTAATAACACTAGTATTCTCTTCTTGATTAAAGCTGCTATTAACATTGGTTTGAGAATTATTGCACTCTAGAATATCTACGAAACCATCATTGGTTCGTCCATGTTGCACTGAACTCGTGGCGTCAATTTTAGATCCAGTCTTTTCTTTTGAGTTAAATCGTTTTGATAGACTTCTGCTACCAGAAGTTTTTACTCGATGATAAATCTTTAAATAAAGGAGGACGATTATAATGAAAGGAATGACGAACCTATAGATCATAACCACAGTGCTGGCATGTATGTTCCTTTTGTAATTTGACCTAGATGTGTCTTCGTCGGGATTCACATCAAGTGGTTGCACGAAGTCCCAAATAGTCGCCATGGGAAACCAAAAAAATGCCGCTACTATCCAGGTAATGAAATTGACAATGTGGGCAATCTTTTTCTTCTTTCGTTTAAAGTGCTGGAGAGGGTAGTGAGTTGCAACGTAACGGTCTAAAGTTATGCCAATGATACCGAGAACGGATACAGTTACGACTGTATTCTGAATACCATTAAACACATTTAGAAAGGTTTGTCCGAATATCCACTCATCATAGAGATATACAGTACTGCGAATCGCCATGACGAACCCCACTAGAAGGTCGGAGATGGTGATGTTGAGGATGTACTGGTTCGTGTACGTCCGCAACTTTTTCTCGATGTGGAATGCTATTAGAATCAGGACGTTTAGCACCGCTGTGGTGACAGACAAGAACATGAGAAGGCTGAAAATAGCTATAGATTTGTAAGTAGGATCACCTGTCCATGGAATTGATTCTGTCAAATTCATCGAGCCAGTTGTACAAACGGCAAAAGAAGATAAGTCCCCAGTGGCCATTTGTATAAAGTTTCTCAAAACTCAACTGTAAATTTAGCAACTAAAGAACAATTCAGAATTGGTAATTCGGAGGAACGTACTTTTTTCTCTTCCAGCATTTGGTGAGGGCTGTAATTTAAGTACGAATCCAAATTCAGTCAAATACGGTTAATTTTCGCTGATATTCACAACCTTTCCCGAAGATATGTCGGTGTTACGGATCGCCATGATGAACACTACTAGAAGATCAGAGATGATGATGTTGAGGAATTACTGGTTGGAATAGGTGCGCAATTTCCTTTCGATGTGGAATGCCCTCAGAATCAAGTCGGTCATTGATACTGTCATACCTGATGGTGAAAAAAGTAGGCTTAAAACAACAACTGAACCATCAGGTGAGTCCAATATCAGATTGACTGGCTCCGAGCTGTATACAAGCGTTAAGTTTTACCATGCCTTATTCTTCTTCCACAGCTCACTGAGTAGGAGCAGAAATGAAGAAAATCCATTTAAATTTACTTTAAACGCGTTAAATTACCTTAACATATTTTTGCTGTATCTAATGGGTCCGTCCATTTTGTTAACTATCATTAATACACCACAATTTGTTTTTTTTTACCCAATTCTTGTTTCTACTTTTGAAAGAAAAAACCATAGAAAACAAAGTGTTTAATATGAACAAAATAAGCGTTCCGTGAAACACTGTTTTAACCACTAATTGGAGGATATTTGACGCAACACAAAAGTGTTGATGAGGCTGGTACTTTTGTGTATTTAAAATGCTAGCACTAAAATAATTGCTAACAGAGCCACAACAGCAACAACTTTAGTAAACATTAACAATACTTGATGTAACTATAAACTAAATATCAAAATGGCAAGAAAGATGATCACCTCGATCCGGCAAAGTGGTGTTCCCTTCTGAATGATCGATTTAGAGGTATGTAATCAGAAATGACGAAGTGAAGATCTACTTATATACTAATGCAACACGATATACCGCTGCATGTCATTTGAATAGATAGTCGAATTCTATACATTCCATAGATCATGATAACGCGTGGATCGTAACAAAGCGGATGGTGCTCTTTTTAGCAAGAATCTAAAGCAAAATTATATGCTGGAGTTGATATCTACGTATAGATAGATGTTAGACTTAGCAGTCATTTTGAAAGAAGTATTGAACATGCATAGTCATATCAAAACAATCTAAAGGTTTTAATAGCACGAACCCTCGCTCATGTCCGCCTGGTTTCAATAGTAGTTCTATTCGTCATCAATCATATGACCCTACCTTTAAAATCTCGCAGCTTTGATGAAGGATGAGGTAAACGTGTTCAAGAATTTTTACTTCTGATACCCATTGAAATCACCTGGGTTGCGTGAGGCAAATATAAGAATAATCTGCGTTTGTTCGTAATGCTAGTAACGCGGTGCTCTTTGCTGAGGTAGGCCTGTGTCAACGACTGGTGTTGTCTTCGATCCACTATGTGAGAGATCACTCGTCGGCCTACAGATTGAAAATGAACAGTGCAATCGTTTTGTTGAATTACTGGCACATGTATTAGTTGCCTTCTTGGGCTTGTTTGGATATCGAAATGTCACCTTGTGTACAGTAGGAATCAATATGTGCCACCCTTGTTTGTTCGGCACATTAATCTAGACAATATGCAAGAGATCATTGGCGTAGAAAATTGTGCACGGGGACACTAAAGGGAGGAGGGACGGGGAAGTAAAAGAAGATGCTATGACCCCCTCTCCCATCCTGCACCTAATCAATGATCTTGTTAGTTTACATTTCATCCGTTTCCAAAAAAACCTGACATCGGGGCTACCTTATCAGAAACCACAACAGAACACAATTGTATAAAGGAATAATGAAATGTTAATCTTTAGCCTACAAATCGTGGCGTCAAAAATCAACAGAATATAAACAATTTAATAGTACATAACTTTAATATAGGGCAACTTCCATCTCGTGAGTCCCTCACAGCTCCTGGTCGCTTGGCCAGTCTCTAGACTGCGTAGAAATCCCCATCGACTTGGCAGCTCATCTCTATCTCTGTCGATGACTCCCCTGGTCGCTTGGCCAGTCTCTAGGCTGCGTAGAAATCCCCGTCGACTTGACAGCTTATCTCGCCCCGACGTGGAGGTCTCTCTGAAGAAAAATGTTTCTTCTCCCTTACTAAATAATTCTGCCTCGTGCATTAAACGTCTGCACCGTAGCACTGACTTGAAGGGTTTTGTCCATTATTCTAAAGCAACTTCCCTTCACCCTAACTTTGCCAGGTCCTTAACATTCCAAACCTCTTAGGTCTGCCAGCTATTACTATTTATATTCAATAGCCAACCCAAAATTATGCATACCAAAACCCCATATACTGTGTCTTAAATGCAAATGTAAGCAATAATGCATCCTATGCTTGGCTACCTCTAACTGACCTTAGAGTAGTACATTTCCTTTAAGTAGTACATTTCCTTGAGAAGTACATTTCCTTGAGTAGTACATTTCCTTGAGTAGTACATTTCCCTTCTCTTCTAAAAAAAAATCCTTTCATTACACCCTCAATGGCTGGATCCCCGCTATACGCCATTGCTATTATCGTCGGCACCTCACAATCCGTAGAAGGGTCTTGCGGAACACTGGTTGCGCCATAGCATAGGTTACGTGGTTGAGAAGGCTATTGATAAATGTCATCCAACGACTTACAGCAGCAAGTGTTGTTTTATTGGACGTTATGATTGATATGCAACTTGGCAGCGAAGTTATAAAAAACGCCACAATGATGAAGGTCAGAGTACGAAAGGCTTTATGATTATCCGCTGAAGACAGATGCCGAGGGTTCCTTTGAATCCCATCGGGTGTTGTTGATTGTGTTGTATTTCGCATTGGTGTAACGTGATGTTGTATATGTTGCATGCTTTGCTCCGGCGATTTAAATACTCGACCAAGCTGTCGAACGTCTTCAACTGTGTCAACTGTGATATGATCCGACTGGATTGAGGTTGATGGTTTTGTAGCGTTCTCTTGAAGAACTACAATGACGCTAGCATTCTCCCCTTGAATAACACTGATGTTAAAATTGGTCTGAGACGTGTTGCCCTCTAAAATTTCTACGAAACCATTATTGGTTCGTCCATGTCGTACTGCACTCGTGGCGTCAATTTTAGATCCAATCTTTTCTTCGAATGCATATCGTCTGGATACCCTTTTGCTACCAGACGTTTTTACTCGATGATAAATCTTTAAATAAAGGAGGACGATTATAACGAAAGGGAGGACAAACCTACAAATCGTAATCACAGTGCTGGCATAGATGTTTCTTGAGTAATTTGACGTAAAAATGTCTTCTTCGGGATTCACATCAAGTGGTTGCACGAAGTTCCAAATAGTCGCGATGGGAATCCAAAAGCATGCCGCTACTATCCATGTAATGACATTGACAATGTGGGCAATCTTTTTCTTCTTCCGTTTAAAGTGCTGGAGAGGGTAGTGAGTTGCCACGTAACGGTCTAAACTTATGGCAATGATACCGAGAATGGACACAGTTACAACTGTATTCTGAATACCTATAAACACATTTAAAAGGGTTTGTCCGAATATCCACTCATCATAGAGATAGACAATACTGCGGATCGCCATGATGAACCCCACCAGAAGATCGGAGATGGTCATGTTGAGGATGTACTGGTTCGGGTACGTCCGCAACTTTTTCTCGATGTGGAATGCTATTAGAATCAGGACGTTTAGCACCGCTGTGGTGACAGACAAGAACATGAGGAGGCTGAAAATAGCTACAGGTGTGCCAGTAGGACCACCTGTCGATGGAATTGATTCAGTCTCATTCATCGAGTCAAATGTACAACCAGCAATAGAACATAAGTCCTCAGTGTCCATTTTCATAAAGTTTCTCAATACCCAACTGTACATTTAGCAAGTAACCAACATTAGACTTAGCATGCATTTTGAAAGAAGTATTGAACATGCATAGTCATATCAAAAAACAATCTAAAGGTTGTAATAGCACGAACCCTCGCTCATGTCCGCCTGGTTTCAATAGTAGTATTTCGTCATCAATCATATGACCCTACCTTTAAAATCTCGCAGCTTTGATAAGGGGTGGGGTAAACGTGTTCAAGGAATTTTTCCTTCTGATACCCATTGAAATCACCTAGGTTGCGTGTGGCAAATATAAGAATACTCTGCGTTTGTTCGTAATGTTAGTAACGCGGTGCTCTTTGCTGAGGTAGGCCTGTGTCAGCGACTAGCGTTGTCTTCGATGCACCATGTGAGAGATCGCTCGTAGGCCTACAGATTGAAATGAACAGTGCAAACATTTGGTTGAATTACTGGCACAGGTATTAGTTGCCTTCTTGGGCTTGTTTGGATATCGAAATGACACCTTGTGTACAGTAGGAATCAATATGTGCCACCCTTGTTTGTTCGGCACATTAATCTAGACGATATGCAAGTGATCATTGGCGTAGAAAATTTTGCGCGGGGACACTAAAGGGAGGAGGGACGGGGAAGTAAAAGAAGATGCCATGACCCCCCTCTCCATCCTCCGATTAATCAACGATCTTGTTAGTTTACATTTCACCCGTTTTTGATTCTCCATGACATCGGTGCCCCTCAATGGCTGGATCTGGATTGTCGTCGGCACCTCACAATCCCTAATATAGTCTTGCGGAACACTGGTTGCGCCATAGCATAGGTTACGGGATTGAGAAGGCTACTGATAAATGTCATCCAACGACCAACAACAGCGAGTGTTGTTTTATTGGATGTTATGATTGCTATGCAACCTGGAATCGAAGTTTTGAAAAACGCCACAAGTGATGAAGGTTAGAGTACGCAAGGTTTTGTGATTGCCCGCTAGCTACAGGTTTGTCAGTAGGACCACCTGTCGATGGAATTGATTCTGTCTCATTCATCGAGTCAAATGTACAAACAGCAACAGAACATAAGTCCTTAGTGGCCATCTTCATTAATTTTCTCAATACTCAACTGTAAATTTAGCAACTAACTAACATTTCAGTATAAGTAATGCAGAGGGACGCACTTTGGCGTTTTCCAGCATTTGATTTGGATTACATTTCAAGTTCGAATACAAATTCAGTCAAATAAGGAAAAAATTTGAGCTGATATCTTATTCATTATATTAATAGAGAGAGATTTAGAGTTTTAGCATTTAATCTTGTTTTATGCGGTTCCTCTGTTCGGTAGCGTGAGTATGCTTAACACTTCCAGAATAGATTGTTAATATGATCGCATTTTCAATGACGGCAGAGCACGTGATGCAATCAATGACTTTGCAATGACGTGTTGATGAATTTCGTAGACGTGCTCAATGACTAATTTCGGCAATCCTAATAAATTGAATCCAAGATTGCATAAAACGATGTTCAATATCATCAGTCGGATAAGATATTAGTCCGCCCGAAATTTTATTAACAGTCAATTTTGCTTGTATTTATAGAGGCCCACACAGTGATCGCGCATAATTTAGCTGATACTGTTGGACATTTTATTAAAGGATTATGTTACTATTCAAAGAAAGGCAAAAGCACGTTTGCTGTCAACCCTAATTACATTGATATTAAACTTGGTGTGCTCGAACCATAATAGTGACTGATGAAAATTCTTCAACCAAAAGTATGATTCACATCAACATAGACTTATTCAATCTACATCAAGCTATACACATGCAAGCTCACTTGGAAGAAGAAAAAATTATTTCATTTTTTTTTAAAATCCATTTTCACATCAAGTTTATAAAGGAGTACAAATTAAGATTATACAGCTAGATGATAATTATCAACTTGCAACAGAAAAGTTCAACTATTAAAAGTGACAAATGCTTAACGAAACAAGCCGAGACTAATGATGAACGACTAGATTAAAATGAGTAAAGGGAATAATCTCATGAATTACATAAATGGTATCCACCGCAACTTTGGGTATATACACCATGGGAACAACAGCTATACATTTCGGGCACAGTAGAGTCCATCTCACCAGGTTTCCCACGCCAGCATTCGTCGCAATCAGAAAAAGACCCGAGCCGACAAACATAGCGTGTGGGGGATAGGGGAGCCAGCCATCAACCGCGATATCTTGTCTTCAGGAGGTCTTCACCAGTGAAGCTATTGGCTCGACAAAGGGCTCATCAAGTTTCATAATGGAACATCAGAGAACCAAAAATTAAACCGACCTTTAAGTAACCATCGATGTTAAACCAATTCATGTGAACGCGCCATAGACGTTATCAGAACTGGGACTACAGCCAGAGTGGTCACCAGAACTTAAGAGAGAGTCACTGCAATGACCAAAGTAGGACCGGAAACAGAGGTTTAATCAGAACTGTGACCAGGGCCCAGAGTGATGAACAGAACTGGAGCCAGAGCCACTGTGGTGACCACGAATGGTTCAAAATCTAGAGACGTGATCAGAACTGGAGCCGGGGCCAGAGCCACTGTAATGACCATGTAGAACTGGAATCAGAGCCATAAAAGGGATTAAAACTGGAACCAGGAGCCAGAGTGATGACTGACCAGAACTGGGACCAGAGCCAGAGTGATGGCAAGAACTAGAGCCAGCGCCATTTTAATGATCAGAAACTGTACCACGGTCACAGACGTAATTAGAACTGGAACCAGGAGCAAAACTGATGACCAGAACTAGGACCAGAGCCAGAGTGATGACCAGAACTAGAGCCAGCGCCAATTTGATAATCAGAAATTGTACCAAAGCCAGAGATTCGATCAGAACTTGAGCCGGAGTCAGAGCCACTGTAAAATCAGAGCCATAGACGTGATCAGAACTGGGACCAGAGCCAGGGTGGTGACCAGAACTGGAGCCAGAGCAACTATGATGATCAGAACTGCTACCAGAGCCATAGACGTGATCAGAACAGGGACCAGAGCCAGAGGTGATGATCAGAACTGCATGAAGCCAAAGCCACTGTCATGACCAGAAATGGTACAAAAGCCAGAGGACAGAACGACTGAATATAAGAACTCGAAGTGAACTTAACCCCGACAAGAAAAAACGCCCTGTAAATTTTTTATATGATGGATTCTGCCCACTTACAGCCTTTTAAATTGCTCAGTTGAATATTTAAATTCCAACGCTTGAAGTGGATCTTTTGCGCAACTCAAATTTTGACTTTGGTTTGATTTGATTTCTGCACTTTACCAAATAAGTCCATTTAAACAATAATTTAAAAAATGATTGAAAAAACATTGATAACTTGGTGTCAAAATGTGAATTAGATATATACATATAATAACTAACTTGATATTTATACAGTATATAACATATACTTTTAAATTAATAGTATTATCCGAACTGTCTGTGGAAAATGTAGAAAATCACAATTATAACCGTGCGCGCGCGCGTGTGTGTGTGTGTAGTGAATGGTAGATGTGCACGTAGCTCTATGTTGTATGGTGGGGTAGAAACAAAGGTAGCGTTTTTGATAAGGGAAACAATTGATAAAAATAGCGAATATGACTTGCAATGCTACCAAAATTTTAGATAGGCCTATTGCATGTTGAAATCAAATATGTTGATATTTCGATATGAGATGCTTTAAAAAACAGCGATAACTTTGCCTTATTGAATTTGGTAGAGAGTTCTAAATATTCTATAAAGAAATCGATGTAATTCCCTTAACGGAAACATGGTTACACGATGATATTAATGAATGGGAGATCAACATCCTAGCTGTATTCGACAATTCGGATGGACTGATCTGGCCAGTGGCGTACGAAGGATTTTTTCAAAGGGGGAGGGGGGGTTTAACATTTAGAAATCGGGCCAAAAAATTCGCAACGAGCTTGGGGATGCTCCGCCCCTGGACCCTCCGCCAATTTACGCTCTACTTACTTCGCTCTACCTGATCGTAAATACTTTAGCCCCCCCCCCCTGAAAATGTTTCGCGGGGCATGTAACATGTAAGAGTGGTGTAGTGATACGGATTTTTTTCTCCCCCCCCCCCCAAAAAAAAAAGTTGTTGTTCATTACGCCACTGCTACCTCGTTCTCGCATTTCGTCCCCCCCCCCCCGGTCATGAAAAGAAATCGCCACCCCTGGAACCATGAATAAAGCAAATTTACTTGACTTAAATGAAGAAAAAAATAATTCTTAGAACTTTGATAGACGGCTCCGATTTGGTTTCTAGGAATAAAATTTGAAACAAAGCCCAATACAATGAGGAAAAGGAGACCAAACGAGAAACGCAAATATACCTGCTGACAAAGTATATCATTGATTTTACTCATGATTAATGTAACGCTTCATTCGCATTGCAACCTCATATCATATTAATTATTCTTGTCACATTTATTCACATCAATTCCACATCGACCGAGTCAACTTTAGATAGAACCATGCATGGATAAAGCAACTTTACTGGACTTAAAGGGATAGTTGAGTTCTGTTGCGGAGAGCGCTACACACAATAATTTTTGTGTGAGATAATGAATTTAAAACAAAAATAATGAAAAACTGAGTGTCAAATTTAAAAGAACATACAATTTAAATGACAAAATCATCTTTGTTTGATAAAAAAAAAGGTTCAGAAACGGCTGAAATATCCATAAATATAACGATTTTTAATATTGTGTACCACTACAAATATTTGACAATTTGAAAAACGCCTTTTATGTTGTATTTCAGCCAATGCTGATGTTAGGCTTTTCGTGTTGGTTATATTACGCACAAATAGTCGGCCCATGTAGTGTTATTATTAATAAATTAAATAATTAACGGTCACCCAATTTTTTTTAAAGTGAAGCTGAATTGGTATGATCGTTTTGGCTAAATTTCACACATTTTGGGGTCTAAAATTACCTTCATAGCAAATGTAGGTTCTAAAAGGGCATTCAAATGTCATAGATAAGAATAAGAGCAATAACTATGCACTTTGAAGGTATTTGTGGTCTAAAAACAGAACTCAACTATCCCTTTACATGAAGAAGAAAAAATTCTTAGAACTTTGATAGACAGGTCCGATTTGGGTTTCTGTGAAGAAAATTTGAAACAAGATCCAATCCAACGAAGAAAAGGAGACCGAACGAGAAACGCAAACTTACCTGCTGACAAAGTGAAAAAGTGTGAATGATAACAAAAAAGAAAGAAATATTTGTTACACTGATATTAAAGACAAGATTTAAGTGATATAATTTGCTTACCGAAATTCGTTGTAACATAGAGATGGTTCCGCGTGAATCTAACTCATGGTGTCTATATCTCGTTTCTTCTTCTGTGAAACGGTTCTGCGTCTGTTTTATTTAATATATACTGTTGGTGTGTGTGTGTATGTGTGTGTGCGTGTGCGTGTGTGTGTGTCCGTGTGTGTGTGCGTGTGCGTGTGTGCGTGTGTGTGTGTGTGTGTGTGTGTGAATACGGGTTTAGTATAGGCATAGACGTAATAGAAATGGTATAGGTATTGGAAAGAATGGGTGTATGTGGGTGTATGTGGGCGTATGATTTTTATTGTATTACTATTATTAATTTATATTAATTTATTTCTATATATTTTGTACAGGGCCTCCTCCCAAAGCTTTGCTTTCTTTGAATTTTTTGTATATATTCATTAAGTAATTTTTTTCTTTTTTTTAATGAAAAACAAATTGAATTGAATTGAAGGAATCGCGGCCTGGCCTTTTAAAAATGAGAATGAAATATATAACGGCTTTAATGATATTGTATGTGAAACCCTGTATGGCATTAGTCTACCAATCCTTTTATTCTCCATCACGAATTGGAAATGCGCTAAATATATGAAACCTTCAGTCCATTAGATGTGATTGGCAACATCGGAAGCGTTTATTTTAGCCTTGAAAGCTCTCCTCGAAATGAAGGTATGATTGATGCGGACAGAGGCGTACGCAGGATTTTTTCAAGGGGGGGGGGGGGTGGTTAAATCGGGCCAAATATCGTTCATAATACATTCATACCTTAAAAACAATTTTAGCAACGACTTGACTTAAACAAACGAAGCAAAAAATAACAGAACCATTGACAATCTTGTTGACGTAACATATTTTAATTGCATATCGCGCATAATGAACAAACTATTGAGGAGAGCATATTTCTTTACCTACCTGTCCTGGAATGCTCCCCAGGGACTGGAGAATGTGCATGCATTGTGTGCGGGTAAGCCTGAATCCTATGACCGGGGTAATAATATATATATCTGTAAAACGCTTAGAGAGGGCCTTCGGTCCTGAAAAGCGCTATATAAGAACTAGCTATTATTATTATTACAACTAATATATTTTTGTTTATTTGTGTAGTTCTACTTAGAATAGATAAAATATCAAATTACATAATATTTTCCAAAACATAATCACATCCTTGCAATACAAAAAAAGTGAAACGTTGAATCAACCTTTTTACAAGTGTTGCAACAATTTTCCATTTATATAAATTTTCTTTTTTAATTGTTTAACTTTTTAAAAACGAATTTGCTTTAATTCAAATCAAAATACATCCTTCCTAACAAATTCATTATCTAAATCTAGAAAGGAATTCAAAAAATAAATGACAATTTGTTCTCTTGACTTCTTCCGTACTAACAAACGATAGTAATCTTACACTTTAATAAACTAACAAATTTACCTTGTTACCTTTTTCTATTTCTATAAGATTCGAAATATCATATTCGTCTTTTAAATCATTGACATCACGTAATTTATCTAACCACCACTCAAAAAATGATTTTTTTTTTCTTCAATTTTGTATATCTTAAATCAAATAAGAGCTGTTGTGCGTTCCCATTTGTCATTAATTAATGTAGGGTCATTCCAGATACCATTTGTAATCAAATTATGAATTTTCAATAAACCGGCATCTTGCCATGCTCTATAAAAAAATCAATATTTTTTGTATAAAGGTAATGTTACTATTTTTTCATATAGTTTCATTTGGAATAGTTTTACATAACTTTTATACTACAATTGAACGGTAAAACAAAGTGGCAAAACCCCTATTTTATCTGACCAGTATCTAAACATATTTTTCCAATCAGAACCATCATCATTAAGGAAAGGAGATACCCATGACAAACAAAGTAAAAATATTCCACTAGCAACATCAAACATATTCCATCCACCATTTTCAACATCATTTATTATTAATCATGCACGTTTAATTCCTTTTCTTTTTTTGGAATTCCACGCGAAAAAAAACAAAAGTCTATCCAATATCTGTAAATCATGTTTTGGTACTGGTAAAATAGTTGGGGTATGCACAACTTGTGTTGCCGCCTACAATTTCATTAAAAAAATTCTACCATAAAAAGTAAGACCGAATTTTATGTATTTGTACATTCCAGTTTAAATCTTATAACAATTTCTTATTTTCGCCTAAATACACTACAAAATATGTAACAGGTTGATCCGTATCTATAGTGTCATTATCATAATAAAAGTTATCTACAATGTTCATGTTCATAATTTCTGTCTTATTCCAGTTTGCTTTCGGACCTGCAAAGTCTCCAAAATCGGTAATTTAAATCATAATATATTGTACATCATTAACAGAATTCACAAAAACATCCATTATTCATCACACCACCAATGGCATCAGTATAAAA